GCAGTTTGCGTAATGGCTGTGTAGCTGGACTCCCATGTAGTCAACTGCGGTTCGAGTCCCGGACCCGGTGGCTTAAACTCACGCCAGGCTCATGTGCATGCGTGCCCAAGATCCCAAGAGGAGAATGGAGGAGAAGGGATTGTGGCGTGGCCATCCCCCCGGGGGGTGATTTCTCACTTTCTGTCTCTCTGTCTCTCTCTGTCTTTCTGGTGAGCGCACGCACCCTATAGCAAAAAAGTTTAAAAAAAATAAAAGAGAGAGAGAGAGGTTTTGACTGTAGGACACGTGCACTCACCAGACCAGCATGCGTTTCAAGCTGCCAGGTCCGGGACTTAAACTGCCGCTGACCATGTAGGAGTCCAGTGATTTAACTATTACATCATCTGCTGGGTCCACAGATTGGATGCCCTTAAGGGTCAGTTCTGCTGAACTTCTGAGAAATACCTGACGGGTTCTGGCCAATGAAAAGTAAGCAGAAGGGATGGAACATCACCCCTCCCTTTCCCTGCCAGGCGGCCTTGGAGGCTACAGAGCAAGGACTCAGTTTGTGATGTGCAGCCTGAGGACCAGGGTGGGGTCTTGATAAGATGCAGTTTCCGGGCTGGGACTCGAGTTTGCGATCTAGCAAGCAGAGGGGATGCTGGGATGTGAGGGGACCACGCGGGTGAGCAGGGAGGAGACCCAGGCTGCTGCTCAGAGATAGGGGAGGCCCACCTCACCTGCCCTGGACCACTCACCAGCCAGAAGTAACCCTCCCCTGGTTGAGCCCCTGAGATAGGTTTATTTGTGGCCACAGTGCAGTCTGTGCGCCCTCACTCGTGCCGTGCCCCGGGGTGGGGAATCTGCAGCGGGCCAGCCAACCAACGCGGAGTCTCTCCCTGAGCTCGCCTTGCGTCCTGGGCGCCTGGCTCTTAAGGAGGTGCTTACTCTTAGGGTTGTGCCAGTGCAAGGTTGGCACTCGAGGATGACAGCCTCCCCAGATTTTGTCCCCAAGGGACCTTTCTTACCTCACCCTGTCCTGGCCTTTGGAGTTGCAGGGGAGCCAGGTTTAAAGCCAGGACCTTTAGCTTTCGAGCCTGTTTCCTTTCAGTAAAGCAAAAAGCAGACATCCATGTCCTGGGGCCTTATTTGGGGGCAATAGCAGCAACCCAGAGACACATGGGTGCCCTGGACCCTCACATCCCTCTGGTGTCAAACTGGGCACTTTGGGGACCTGAACCTCACCTAATCAGCGAGGCGATAGAGTCCGATTTCCGCCACTGCCTTGGACACTGAACTGTGTATGGTAGGTCGATCGCTCGTACTCCATTCCCAAGGGCCCTGGACGTTGCCCATGTGCTCCCCAAGCTGGCCAGGCACAGGGCTCCCCTGCCCACGCTGCCCCCGCCCCCAGCTGTTAGAGGGAAAGGCTCCAAGAAAAGCCCCTGCTCTGGTTCAGATAAGCCTGCTCACCTCGGCCCCTGCTCAGTGCTCACCTGCCCCTCGGTCCTCTCCCTGGAGGCCACAGCCCACACCTCCCCACCGTCAGCGAGGGCCTCGCTTCTGCACCCACGTATAGGGATCAGGGCCTCTCTCTCCTCCCCATGCACCCCTCCCCATCCCTCCTGCTTTCCTCCTGCCTCAAGAATCAAGTGGTTTGAAACTGGCCCTCTCAGGACAGACGAATCAGTGGTGGTGGAGGTCAGAACAGTGGGTACCTGCAGGGCAGAGGGTATGTTCTTGGAAGGAGCAAGAAGAACCTTCCAGAAACATGGCTCGATCTGGGTGGTGATTACATGGTGTGTACACATGGGAAGAGTCGCTGAGGTGTGCACTTAGTACTAATGAATGTTAAGCACTTTTCTGTACATATGTTATTCTTCCACTTAAAAATATATATCGCAGGGAGCTCTGTGGGCAGGAACAAGTAAATGCCAACAACGCAAGCGACGAGATGGGTTCTAGAGTCAGGTTCTGGACCTGCACTAAAAACCTGGCTTTATCTTCCAGCTGTGTGACTGCAAGCAGGTTACTTAACATCTCTGAACTTCACCTTATTGATGCACAGACTGTGAGGTTTAGAAACACACTTTTTGGGCCAGCAGGTGATGTAGTGGTTGAGGCACTGAACTTCCACCTGGCTGACTATGGTTCAAGTCTCAGATTCGGTAGCTTGAAACTCATGTTGGGCACGTGCATGTGTCTGTCCAAAAATCACGAGAGGAGAATAAAGGAGAAGGAATTGCAGTGGGGCCATCACTTTCCCAATTTTTCACTTTCCCTCTCACTGTCTCTCTGTCTCTCCAGTGAGCACATGAGTCCTATGGGAAAAAGAATCTTCCAAAAAAAAAAAAAATAGAAGAGAGAAACAGCACTTTGTACCACTGGTGTTTAGCACAGGTATGGTTCATCCAGATGAGGACTCAGTACTGAATTGCTTGTGTCGTTATTAAAACCAGTAGCCCTGGGAGCAGCAGATAGACTTCCATCTGGTCAACCATGGCTCGAGTCCTGGACTTGGTGGCTTGAAACTCATGCCAGGCACAAGTGTATGTGTGCCCAAAATCCTCAGAGGGTAATGGAGAAGAAGGGATTGTGGCATGGCCATCCCCCCAGGGGGTGAGTTCTCGCTTTGTCTCTGTTTGCGTCTGTCTCTGGGTGCCAGCAGTCAGGGAGCGCATCGAGAATTTAAGGCTAAAATGAAAGCGATGAGAAGCCAGCCTGCTTTTTATTATTACTGTGTGCCGGCAAATCTAAACATCAGTGACAAAATACCCTGTCCCCAAAATATCCTTTCTTGGTCCAAATTCCAAACAATTACTGTGGTAACCGTTAAATTTTAATATTATGTATGCAAGCTTCAAATCAGCTTTTTTCCCTTTAATTTGCTAGGGGGTGTGTGCTCGCCAGAGAGAGAGTCGGAGAAAGTGAGAAAGCACCTCCTAGGGGGATGTCAGAGAAAGTGAGAAAGCACCTCCTAGGGGGATGTCACACCGCAATCCCTTCTCCACTCTCCTCTCGGGATTTTGGACACGCATACACAAGCACCCGATGTGTTTCTCAAGCCCCTGGGTCCGGGACTTGAACTGCTCAGTCGGCCCTGTGGGATCCAGCTGCCTCAACGATCATGTCACTGGCCGGTCCAAATGAGCACGTTTTTGTTTTTGTTCTTCACATGTTCTCCGTGGAAGTTCACACGGAGAATTGAAGGAATGCAGGTGTGCACAGTGCGCATGGATGTGGGGGCACACGTGCTCTCAGCGCGAGCTCCTAACAGCTGGAATCTTCCAAACTCCCCATCTCACCTCCGCATCGCAGCCTCTGCCTTCACAGGGCAGACTCGGGTGAACAATGGGTACAGGGTGACGCTGACGGCGGCCACACAGGTACTTCCGCCTTGTCGTTCTAAGGGACTACCTGGAGTTTCGGTTCCTGTGTGAACTGTGAGGCAGTGAGACACCCGGAAGTACAAAGGGCTTCCGTTTGCCAAGCACGTGTTTTAGCTCCTCCATGAAGGACCCAGGTTTCGTCTCGTGGCTGTTATCGAAGACTTCTGTCGCATGACAAAGAGGGTTAAAAAGGCTCCATCTTGGGGGTGAGAGCCACAGGCACACCTCTGACTGGAACATCAGCTTTTCCAGCAAATAACATGAACCTCCAAGTCTGTGAGCTCCACCCCTGCCCGGCCACTTTCCTGCCAAACAAGATCGAATCCTGCGTCTTCGGCTTCAATGTTCATTCATCTCCAGTCCCTTGTCCCCCGAGACTACAACGAGGAGGGCATCTTGCCTGTCAAGTCACTTTCCTTCTTTTTTTCTTTTTATTTCCTTTTGGTGCCAGAGGGTGTGAGCATGTAAGCACGAGAGACTGAGAGAGAGAGAGAGAGCCCCTCAGTGGGGCCTGGTCATGCTGCAATCCTTTCCCCTCCAATTTTCCTCTTCCTCCATATTGAACCACATGTCTGGCATGTTTTTCAAGCCTCCAGGGCTAGGACTCGAACCCTGGTTGGCCATGTGGGATCTGGCTCTCTCTGTGAAGCGTTTACATACTGTGTTACCAGGTGGCCCTCGAGGTACTCTTCTTCCTCAAGCTGCCCTTTCTGGAACCTTCTGTTCTCCAGCTCTATCACTTTGAGGTTCGGGGTGCTGATGGAGCATATGGGGACAAAGCCTTACCCAGTCACCTCTGGCAGCACCTCTAATGCTGTCTTTGGTAAATTCTACAGACAGAGCCTAAGGATTTAACCCCCATCCCCTCCCCCAACTAGGTGGCTGGACATGGTCGATGTCCCAGATCTTACTCCCCGCATACACAGAGGGCTTCAGTGCCACCAGGCACCTCAGCAGTCATGCTATGACCTCCCTCCAGGCCTCTGCACGGGCTGTTCCCTCTGCCTGGAACATAGCACGCTCTCACTCTCTTTCCTAGGCTCTCTGAAACGGCACCTCCTTCAGAAACCTGTGTCTCACCCTTGGTCTGAACCAAGGTGCCTACTCAGTGCTCCCAGGAATTCCAGCTGCCGTCCCTGTCATCTCCCCTGGGGCTTGTCCATAGGTGGGTTTGCCTGCAGCCTCTGCTCAAGTGGCCTCAGAGCTGGCTGAGGTAAACGAAGCAGACATGGTCTGACCAGCTGATCCAGTAGCACCCAGCAAGTGCCAGCACACAGTAGGTCCAGCTTGCTCAGGCTGTTCCCCCACGGGCCATTTTCCAGAGCCCAGGCAGTGGGCCGGAGGGAGGCTCCTTGCTGCCAAAAGCAAACAGGCCACCAGGGAAAGCTTTGCTCTGGGTCACACCCACCCCTGGGTGACTGCCAATCCCTCTGCCAGAAACCGCAGGCCGGCCTGAGGCTGCCCGGAGTCCGGGCCATAGGGTTTAGGGGGCCTTGGGTCAGATCTGCAGAGGGGTGTTTGCTGAGCACTGCTGGTATCCACAGCCCCCGGGGAGGAGAGGGGTCTGGGGCACGGCCGCAGCAGCTACGGCAGCGGCTTTGGCTAAGGGCCCCTTCCACGGGGTTTAGAGTCCCCTGCCAGCCCGTCACTGGCTGCTGGTGCTGGCACTGGGTGGGTTCACACACACACACACACACACACACACACACACCCCTTGGTGGCCTTCAGTCTCGCCGTCAGGTAAGTGGGCTAATCACCAGGACCATGAGGATGGGAAAAGGAGGCAGGAATGGAAAGGCCCGTGTGTGTGTGTGTGTGTGTGTGTGTGTGTGTGTGTGTGTGTGTGTGTGAACGCCTGGGAGTGACCTCACTGCTGCCGGAACATAAAGACTCACAGGTCCTGCCTCCCAGGCTCAAAACTAGCTCTGCGGGGGACACAGTAACGCGAGAGCCATGCTGCAGACCCACCTTCTGGCCTTCTCCTTCCTTGGCCTCCTCTCAAAGGTAAGGGGGACCTGAGCCCTGAAACCCCTACTGACTTCTCAGGCGTGGTGGGGGTGGGGTGTAAAGCCACAGCCAAGGGCCCCCTGCAGACTTCCTGCAGGGCCCACAGGGACCACAGCCTGGTCTCTGTGCCCAAGCCAGGCTCCCAGCTGGGTGCCAGCTCTGCCGTGTGACCTCGGGCAGGTCCCTTCCTCTCCGAGCCTCAGCTTCCTCCTAGCTGAGTGGGCATAGCATTCACGAGGCCTCGGTGAAGTCACTCATGACAATCTGTCAAAACACGGAGCACCAGCCCCGACTGGCAAGGGCTCCAGAAGGACTTTAAAGCACGCATTTCTGACCCCACGCCCCTCTACCAAGCAGGGACCTGTCCTCACAGTAAGCAGACTCGAGACCTGGTGTGCTGCACCTGACTCTGGGCCAGGACTGGGGTGGGCGATTGGCAAATTCAAGCTGTGAAGACAACGTGTTGGGTGCTCAAGCAGCACGTGACTCGCTGACGCTGGCTAGAGGGGGCAGGAGGCATCACCCGGTGCTGCCTGAGACACTGTCAAAGGGCTTGTGGGAGGCTCACTTTGCCTAACATGCAAGGTGTGAGGAATCCCGTGAGGAATTACCATCCCCAGTTTTCAGTCGAGTGAGGCTCAGAGAGGGTAAGTAACTTGCCCAAAGCCACACAGCAAAAAAGCATCGGAACAGTAGAAGAGGGGCGTGGTAGAGCCCCTCCAGGATAGACATGGTGCGTGTCGGGGACTCCAGCCTGTGCCACCCCACCCCCAGCCTGCACCAAGGCCACAGCTGCTGAGCCATGTCATCCCCATCAGTGCCGACTTCCCAGAACCACAGGGGTTGGCCCCAGCACAAGCTATGACGTCACTGTGTTTTTGTGCTCCTGTAGGGAGCACGGCAGGAGTCCTCTCCCCCAGGCCCCAGGAGCTATGGGGGGAAGGCTGAGAGCCCTGCCAGCATTCCCAAGGGGATGAACAGGACATGGTGGTGGGAGGTCAGGGGTTTGGGTCGCTGGAGCGCTAGAGCAGGGGACTCAGGGCTCTGGGAGGGAGAAGGGGCCCAGGATCAGAAAAGACCAGAGGAAAGTTGTCCTAGACTGGCCCCTGGAAGGGGAAAA